AACGATTGTTCGGTGATTGTTCGAATCGAACGTTACATCTGCAAATACGAGAGCAGCAGTGGTCGTGGTTGTGTCTGACAACACCTTTTCGTCCAAGGAGGATGGAACTTGGGTTGCCTTGTGAAAAATGGGACGTTGGGTGAATTCTTCGGTATTCCGTTCGGTCGTGATCACCGGCACTGGTACCATCAATTTCTCCGTATAAGAGTCCACGTGTTCGGATATCGCTTCTTCCACCTTATTTTCATATTTGTCGCCCGCCAAAATAGCGGGTAGGATATTACTCCATTCGACGTTTGCCTTTTCCGGGATCGTCGGGAGCGAGCCCGTTAACGTAGTTGACGGTGGTTTACCCATAGCACTTTTCAATACGTTTTGCACCTTCTCCACAACGTCCATTACCTACGGAACAACATTTCAAAGGTGTAGTCTATAACTAAAAATTGTTCGTTACCAACCTTCTTCCCACCCGTAAGAATATCTTGAGCTTTCTGGGGCTCTTGAATCTCTACGTTCGAATGATCCGGACCTCCGCCCGCGATCAAAGCTTGAATTTCTTGTATAGTCATCTGTCTCGTGATCATATCACCCCTTTCGTTGTACGTGTAGAATTGAAATCCATCGGGTTTCAACAAATTAGCAGGAGAGGGAGGTAACCGATAGAAATTAGCACCGATCGAAGTCGGTGACCTGTTCTCCACCGTTGCAGCACCCGTTAACGATGTAACCGCGCTAAATATCACACACGAAATATATATATTATCGAACGATTATTCTTGTGCACCAAATACTGACCTTGATTTGAAAAATTTCGTCGGCACCACCACCACTACGGTAGTAGTAGCATTTTCTGAAAGTGGCAAACCCACGCTGAAACTTAAACATGTCCATAGTACAACTGCCGTCGATGTTGCGTGAAAAAGTTCCAAGGACATGATATATTTCTTCTTCTTTTCCTACGATCTGAAAGAAAGAATTGTTGAAAGAGCAAATAGATGGAAAGAAACGAGAGAGACGAGTTGCTCTTCTTTTCGGTGAACGACCCTTCGGTTCCTTGTTACCCCCTTACGCGACCATCGCCTTAACATGACGACCGGTTTTCCGTCGCGTTCTAAATCGCTTGGTAAACGCGATCTACTCGTTCGAATGCAACTTGTGACGTCGAAGTTGCTTGAGTTTCGAACCAAAAATTCTCTTTTAAACGGATCCTCTCGCACAACTATATATATATATATGTGTACTACACTTTTGATAATACTATTGATATTTTAGCGTTTAAGAGACGACTACCTCTCTAATCGATTAAGAAGAGCGATTTTATTGATATTCCTCCACAGATATGTATGTACGTTATGAGAGCGTTCGCTTCTTCCTTCTCTCTCGCCTTCGATCTTTTCCCTCTTCCTTTTATTCTTCCTGACAGCGCGCGCGCCGATCTCTGTTTCTTCCCGTATCACCTGTCGTTTCTACTGTCTCCTACCTTGGACAAGCGCGTACTGCGTACTTGAATCCTTGCTGGGGACGAGTGCATCGGACTGAGAAAGAAAAGTGATCGGAGAGGGGGAGCATGGTCTCCGAACGAAAAGATGGAGAAAGGGTGAACTTGGAGAGTCGGCTTGGAACGAGATGTTGGAATACATATATCGAAAAAGGAAGGAAGAGGAAAGAAGAAGGGATAGGATGAGGTTGAAGGACCAACGTAGAGGCAAGTTACGTATGGAGATCTCGGAAAGAACGATTGCTCGATCGAAATACCTACTTACATGCACTTGTTGCTCGAATTAACAATGCCATCTCTGATCTTTGCACATCTTTTTTTTCTCTTTTCGTAGTAGCGTCGAGCTTAAAATGATTGTTTTTCGTCGGAAGAGATTAAAGGCGATTAACGGTACATCGACCGAATAAATTTACGATGCTAAATAATTTGTAACGTGTGAGAAATTTCTCGTGTCGACTAACATTTTTAGTGACTATTTTTAGTGCAATGTGTATCGTACATACGTGCACAATATGCATACAGATTAGGAACAATAAGAAAACTGAGAAAAGCAATTGGTTCTTGTACGCGTATCTCGTTTCTATCCACGATGAGGAACACTGACGAACGCTTAACGGTATTCGTTTACGCTTATTTGGCCGTCTTGACCTATCGAGGAATCGCAAAAGTATTACGTTGCTAACGAAGTAATGCGCGGAATTACGCAAAAATAACGAACAGCTTCTCCGTGTATTGTCATTTCGAGTGATCTTTTGATTATCAAATATTCTTTTTGCTTATATTGCTCTTTCTTAAGCTTAACGCAAATACGTACGTATGGTAGAAAAAGAAGTACGATTATCGACACAGTTCTAAGAATTGAACAAATGAAAGATGTCTCGATCGATCTAAACACACTTCCCGCTATTGCCCGAATAATTGATCGCGATAGATTTATCCTAATATTCTATTACTCGGTGAAATAAGGAAAAAGTAGAAAGAATATGAGCCTGCGATTGAAAAGTCTGGAAGAAGAGACACGTTTCGTAGATGGAAGCGAATACAGGGGCACTTGGAACGAACTGGGAATGGAAGGAATCGGAAAATTCATTCTACCGCATGGTTAGTATAGTTTGCAAAAGGTAGTATTAGAAAGATCTCTTTTCTCTTCTGAAAAAGAGAAAAAAGGAGAGAGAAAAAAGGAAAGGGAGGATGAAAAGAACGTGATAATAATGAATAAAATTGACCAAAGATAAATCGCAAATAGTGGACAAAGGCATCGCGTTGAATATATCTATCCTTAATGATAATTCTCAAGATTTAGATTTAACTTTTGTGTTATAATTGTGCCTAGGAAGCATGTATGTATGCATATACTGGTTTTTGAGCACGACATTGAGCATTTCTCGCGCGTAAGTCGACACGTACCGTTATCCGACCATTTTCGTTGCTTCGTGTTCTACAGTTTGTACGCGTTTTTCATTTACCGATAGCTCAAGAATCCCGGTCTTAAAATACATACACAGTTCGTCGTACAAATTTCACCAACTTTATAAGCACTCTCTCTCCACCTCTCTTTTTATCTATCTATCTATCTATCTATCTATCTATCTATCTATCTATTTACCTACCTACTTATCTATCTATCTTTCTAGCTTTCCTCTATTGCTCGCTCCTTGACTCTTCAACCTCCTTTCGGTAAATGAACCGAATCTATTTACCCGTAATAGGTACTGTCTTTGAAGGAGAGTTCCGCGATGGTACATTTCACGGTCGTGGTAGCGCATATTGGCCTCGCGGACAAAGAGTGGACGGTATTTGGTACCAAGGTGAATGCAAAGACAAACGATACATTTTCGACGATGGTTTAAATTTTCGTAACAAAGATTGGGAATATTGCAAATTTCCTGACAGACGGTTGGTAAAACGTTCGTCCCTCTCTCTCTCTCTCTCTCTCTCTCTCTCTCTCTCCCCCTCCCTCTCTCTCTCTCTCTACTTCTATAGATTATTCCTATTTTTTAGATATCTCGCTTGTCTTAAATACGGATTAAAACCTGCTGGAGCTACTTTACGTACAAATAAACGAAACGGATTTGTTATTCCTCCTATGTGTTACGATTCAGGCATCGGGATTTTTAATCCACGTACACGTTGTATTACGTCTTATCGAGATTCGAAAAAGGTAAGAAGAAAATAGGAGAATAGAAGGCTCCTCTTGAACAACTTATTCAATTGTCGGAACGCTCCAAGATATTGAAAATACCAGATACCAAATTCGCTCAATGGGTAGAGAAGAATTGTCAGAAAGCATGGTTGGAGCCAATCGGGAATCGAGAAGATCTTTACGAAAATTGGTTTTCCCACAAATTTCATGCGGAAATTCTTTCCACGTTATTACCATTTTCGAACAATTCCTTCGAACCTTGGTGGAAAAGGTACTACAGATACGAACGTTAACCAGCTAAAAACTTCTTCCCCTTTTTTAACTACTTCTACTATTCTTAATTCCTCCGAGATTGACCACTTTTCAACGGGATTCCGATTGGAAACAAGAGAGACCGAGTAGCTATTGTGCCTATCCGCCGATGAAACACCGAAGAACCACATGCGAAAATTTCATTAAATTCAAACGTGAGAAATAAAAGTCCTGTTACATGTATAAAATAAACGAACGAACGAACCAACGACAACTCGCAACATGATGTTAATATCGTTCCACGTTGGATCCACATGACGAACGAGGAAAAATAGAAACGAAGAAAAGAAAAAAAGACTTATTATTCAACGACAAGCTGTTTTTCTTCGATTACAGAATTGGGAGCATTTGTTTTTTGATGCACACGATATACTACCGACAACTTCTTCGGTACACATTCGGTAATTTTACAAGCGATAATATCCAATGTCACGAGCACCTCCTGTGTACCGTATCCTTCGCAAATTTTGATCGATACCGGGCTTGAAAGTTCTCCGCTCGTTGCCGCAGCACTCCACCCCGTGTTTCTTGACAGATTCACGGTCCATTTTTGTGGTGCGTTTGAATTCAATTTTAAATCGTTCTCGAGGAATATTATATCGAACGAGATATTCAATTTGCCACCACTTTCGTTGATTGTCGTATCGAAGGAGTAAACGTTGTTCCAACTGTTGTCAGTTTCGATCGTGGGAATTTGTATGGACAACTGAAACACAACGACGACAAATGCAACGTTATATGTACCATTTTTATACCACGTTACGTACAACGTTACCGTCGTAATGTTTTCCCTCTTCGTGTTTATGATCTTCACAGCGTGATTATTAGTGTCGGCCACGTACAAGAGATGGTTCTTCGAACTTACGGTAATACCGCTAGGTTCGTCCAACTGTAAATTTTTAAGATTATCGGTAGAAAACCTAATTCAGTTGACAACTGGACAATTTTTGTAAAAGTAACGTACTAGAAACTCGTCGTTCGGTTTTCCATTGCCGTACATGCTCTTACAGTACCCGGTGCATATGTCGATTTTTTTGATTTTATGATTGTAAGTGTCGGCTACGTATGCAACGTTTTCTTTCGAATCCCACGTTATTCCCAAAGGATGTTGAAGTTTAGCTGCGTATTGTACACCATCGAAATCTCCGAAATCGTGCAGATCCTGTAATGTCGAGATGTCCCGTGACGAAATTCGAATACATTGCTATCGTTACGAGAGCCAATCTTCGTCTATTATGCTTTTAAACGATCGCAATCGATATTCGTTCGAATACGTATATTCCAACTAACCGCTGGATTTCTGTTTCCACCACATACACCGGAAACTCGTCCGGTTTGTAGATCTATGCTTCTAACAGCACTACTTTCACTGTCTGCGAACAAAGCAATTTTTTTTCCTTCGACTACGGTTAAACCAGACGGTTGTGCTAGACCAGCCGCATGAGGATATGTGTTATTACGATTTTCCTCTTTGCCACTTCCAACTATTGCAACGCACGTACTCGCCTTGTATCCTCTATCCACAGATTCCAAATTAAACACGTCGTCCTTTGTTGTTGGTAAAAGCTAACGTACGTTACAAAAAATAAACAGTCCGTGTTACCTATTCTTCCACCAAGTAGTATCTTGTAAGAAAAGCGCCCAAATTTGATGAGTACCCGCCATTGCGATCAACAATACAGGTACCGTATCGTTATCCTGTTCGTGATTGTAAACAGCTACATCCCATGGTGATGATAAAACCTGCTCCTCACCGATCTTACCCCCGATGTAATCGTGACCTTGAGTGCCCGTACCAGCGACGGTGATTACTAGTTTCTTTATCATGTCTATCTAAAAATCAATCTTAATGTGTACCAATACTATTTCAACAACCAGCGTTACACATGTGATATTTCTATATTACCTTTCTAATTGCGTGATTCTCGTTATCGGCAACATAAATCGAACTATCCAGTGCACACACTCCCTGAGGTGCGTTGAATTTTGCATTTTCAAAATCACCATCCCTGAAACCTGGATTAAAGCCGCCGATAACGTGTTTCACGTTCCCTAAGGTATCGCTTACTAAAATTCTATTGTTGCCTGTATCCGCTATGATCAACATTTCTTCTTGCTCGTATTCGGCAATCTCTAATTTACTTGGGAACAAAACAGTTCTATTTCTCGCAATAGGCAACAAGTGTCGCGACAATTGCAAAGGAACGTCATTTTTCGATATTTTGTTTAACGATTTAAAGTAAGTTAATGCTACGTCTGCATACAGAATTAATTCATCCCTATGTCCTTCTCCCACGAAAACTGCGAGTAATTCACCGTTTGGTCCTGTGGCAGAAAAGAAATTTTTCGTACGTTTAGAACGTTACGATGAGATTATGTTATATGCAAATCGAAGCAGCAGCTGTAGACTACCTAACTATTACCTATCATTACCAATGTTGGCCAACAACAGACTCCCAAATCACGCCATGTTGATAAACTTGCGTCGTTTACAACTGGATGCTTTATGTTATATCTCTGCACTGCTGACAACAATCTTTTTGAATCTCGTTCGTTTGAAAATTTTGCACTGTGCACACCAACCTGAAGAAAAGATGTGATATTATGTTGTTCAATTATTTCTCTCGCCTTGTTATTTCTTTTCAGAAATTAATCCGTATATACTAACAACAACAAGACCATCTGTGACTGAAAACCGTTTTTCAAGATAATCTAAATCTGGTAAAATGTGCATACAATTGATGCAACAGTATGTAAAGAAATCCAAAATAATTATCTTTCCACTGAGATGTCCATATATGGATAACTCCTCTGCGACGTTGAACCATTCCAATCCTAACAAAAATGTTTAAAACAAGCAACTCCTTTGAAAATTTCGTTAGACTTGATATGATGTCTGTGAATGAAATAGGAAACAATGGAACGTATAGATGATGATGATGATGATGATGATGATGATGATGATGATGATGATGATGATGATGATGATGATGATGATGATGATGATGATGATGATGATGATGATGATGGGTGGTAACGAAAGAAGACAAGATAAATTTAATCTTCATCCAAGGATAAACTATATTGTGAATACAAAGATTTGACTGTAGTTCTATTTGTTACAGCTATTGCTCCTAAAACCACTTGAGTGACATCTTTGATGTCGTTGTAACGATGCAATAAATCCATAGTTTCTTGAACCGAACGAAATTCTGTCTCTTGATTCTTCAAACTGGATAATTCTTGATCGAGAACTTTTTCACGTTCAACAAGTTCGAAATATTCGCGTATCTCCTCTTCGGTAAGTAAAACGTTTTCTTTATCATTTAAACACATTTGCCGACTCGAAACTGCTACGTTCACCCCTCCCCCCACCCTCAATATTCTTCGTGTTTCGTTCTTTGAATTTCTTAAATGCTTCATTCCGTAACATGAATACAATCACGTACGGAATACTTGTTGCCTAACGAAAACCAAACTTATGTTAAAATCTTTAAGCAATCGGAATACACGGGTTTCAACGTCGAAAAATAAACTAATACGGGTTTAAATAATGTGCATACTTGCTTAAACTGGTACAAGGATATAGATGCAACGCCGAATAATCTTCGAAGTTTAGAAACTATAGATCGTAAATAATCGATCTCGATCAATTATGTATATACAATTTGACGGACGCTCGTTATTCGATACAACCTTCTTCACCTACCGTTCGATTACAATCATTTTTTTTCATAATTAAACGACTATGATCAGTTTTCGTTCCCTGCGTAACATCGAATAATGAAATAAATGCGAAAACAGTAACCTTTTTGAAAATCAACGATCCGCGATTCTTTGTTCGAAAACACTTTGATATGCCCCAATATTAATTCCTCTTGTTCCTTTCTGTCAAGCGACGATTCCAAACTTCGACGTATTTCTATGCCAATTTGCGTTAGTTCTTCCACGGTGTCTCGTATATTCATATTTTACTTCGTATATTAAACTACATATGATTACGAATAATCGCAAAATATCTTTACGATGTAAGTAAATTGAACAATTAAAAATACTCGAAAATGAAGGAAACTAAAAAAGGAGAGTAGAACAAAAAGTAGGAATAGCAATTTGATAGAAGGGATTCGAGTTGATAGATATAAACTCGCCTTAGAATATAACCGCACTTCTCTAGTAAATTATTTATTACTACTGTGACCCGTGCCACGAGGAGACGCGAACGAAGATCGGAAACTACTTCGTCCACACAGCCCGTACGTTCGCGTCTGACGAGGCCTATTTTTTTGTATACACTCGATAATTTTCGTTGTTGTACATAAGTACTTATCTCCGCAGACGAGGTACAGAATACAACCGTCGAAGATGGTAAAGTCGACAGATGAAAAAATCCTCTTTTATTAAGTTTGCATTTAAAGATGCATACATCGTACAACGGTAGAACACATCATCTACTAATAAACAATTACGTTACTTTCTTATTTGTAATTTCATAGTTACGTTTCGTTCCAACCGCTACTAACGATGTAATCGCATTCGTCTGCGGTAAGAAGTAAAGCTGCGGGCGTGGTCGTCGATCTGGTGAACTGTCTCTACGATGTGAATTAAACGTGACGCTTGGGTTTATGTTTAATAATTAACACGAATTCTGAGTTTAACACTGCAATAATAAATATATTTTAATAATAGAAACAAAACTAAAGAAATACATACACTTAAAATATAGAACGACTAGAACTAGGACTTAAAATCGAGAGCAGAGCTCGTGACTTGACTTGTTAGATCTGGAACAATTAGAATCCCAATACGAACGGATAGTGCTGTACCGGAAAACGTACGTGGGCCATCTCGCATAATGGAAAAACAATTGAAAGACGATCAGTGAACGATAGAATAACGTTTGAGCTTTCTAGATGTTTCCTGGGTGGCGGTCAAGCTTCCGAGGTCTGCCACAGATCTACCGCCATATATAGCGCCGATTCGCAGATATTTTTGTAAGAAGTATCGCGAAAGATATTGTTCAATTGTGGTTTGAATAAACTTTATTTATTTATCTACTTGTAAAGTCCTTGTCCTCTCTACGAGATATAACTAGCGTAGTGACAACGTAGCTACGTTGGAATTTACGCGCGCAGCGGCACGCGCATGCACTACGTCGGTCACTCTGCGATACAAATTACAATTTAACAGCAGGTCTTTAATTATAGTCCTTATCCTATCCTATGGTATGAGCTATATTTAAATATCAAGTAAAATTATAATTATCGTTACATTTAGTTCGTCATGAATATGTACATATATGGATAAATGTGTGAAACTAGGAGGGTGGATTCACATGAGAATCCCAGAGTGTGGACCTCGTGGGTGGTTTACATGAGTCGCGAAGCGTGCATCTCACACCACGCATATTATCGTTGAAAACACAGATGCACTGCAGTTTGCTAACGTTAAATACTATTGTAACGTGATTTATTAATAAGTAGGCAAAACTATTGATACTTTTAACTTTCAGAGATTAATCTTTCGACTAACATATTTCACATATTTTTTCCCCCTTTGATTTACAATTGGTAAGTGATAATGTCGAAAGATACGTCGACGAATTCGGTAAAAGTGTCAAACGAATTAGACTGGCTTAGTTTGTATGGTACGAACGGAGGTATCAAAACGGAAACGTTTGGTGAAAGATTAATACGCAAATGTAAAGAGAATCCTCTAGTACCTATAGGTAAATCGTAACATCGTAATTGTAATTCTTGATAGAAAAAACAGCATGTTAAATTTTTATTGAAGTTCTTTTATCATCTCGTTAGGTACTACAGCAACTACAGCTGCACTTACCTATGGTCTTTGGAGCTTTTATTGTGGAAATGCTCTGTTATCCCAATATATGATGCGTGCTCGAGTTGGAGCACAAGCCTTTACAATTTTATCTATCGTCGGTGGATGCATTATTGCAGGAAATAAGGATAATGCCTAACATATTATCATTTAGTTGTTTACGTAATAATTATTTACAAAAGTTGTTGCGTGTTCGTGATGCTATTTAGTAATTAGTATAATTGTTAGTAATGTTTCGAGTTCGACCATATTTTTATTAAATCACAAAATTTGTTCGATAATTCTTCCTATAGCGAAGAATGACGTACAGATAGGGAAGATGTATGAAATAGAATAAAAACTGTTTAATGTAAAAAATAATTATATTTTCTCTTTGAGAAATATTAACATTCCATCTTGTTTTATTGAAATCATTTATGGTAAGATTTATCGGAAAAATTGCCTATGGGATCTTAACGAAACAATCGATGTTATCATCGTGTCATATGAATGTGCTATGTATTATTACTACACTTGGAGATAAATTTAAACGGTTCTTTCGGCATCGTAATCTTCGAAACCAAATTTGGAAATGTCGATTCTGTTAAGAAATATTGTAATTTTTATCGTTGATAATCATTTTGGAATACTTGGAATTTTCATTATTAACTTACTATCTTAAATAAATAGTTGAAAATGAACAACAGAATAAACAAACGTATTAGCTTGAGAATGTTACCCGTTAAAGGAGTTTCATCATAGAGTGATCCTTGTTGCTTTACGTTGTCGTTGAAAGAATTTCTCATATTTGTATTTCCGTTCGAGGTCTCGGAACATGAAATTCCCTGAAGGCTTATCACAGTATGTTTCCACCTCGCGTGTTCTTTAACACACGTTGCCAATTGTTCGAACCATTTTTGAACATCTTCGTTCGAACATAATTCTATAATGTCAGATGTTTCGTTTCCATCTACATGATTGATTACACGTAATTGATTTTTCTTTGATTTCGATCGTCGAACGATCGTTCCCTAAAATATAATAATATTGTACGTAACAATATCGACTGATAATGTTGGTGTAAAATTTATCAAGGTATATTCTGATGTTTCGTCGTTTCACCTTATTTACGTAAATCGTATACGTGGGTTTTTCAAATTTTTCCAAGTATTTTTTTGATTTCCAAGCTTCAATTTGGAAACCTTGCAATCGTGCCCAACACCGTTGATTATTTATGATTACGTACTCTGCGCGAACTTCTTTATCCATGTAATGTGGTTGAATAGCTAAACGGCAGCAGAAGTGACCGAAAAGCGGTAAAGCGTGAACTTTACTCTCAACACTGTTCAACGTTAAGTCATGTGAACGTATGTTCCCATCGGTATCGTCAAGGGTCATCTTTGCATAGGCCACCAAATCGAATTGCGGTACTTTGCTAGACCCGTATTCATCTCGTAGAGATGCCGCCAACTTTCTACCTACAGTTCTTGAAATCGAAGAATGAATACTTCTTCGTATTCTTCTCGGAGTACTGGCAATACTAAGATCTTCTTGTAAAATGTGACTGTAGATTTCTAAAGTCAATTCGAATTCAGCTGGAACATTATCGAATAATAAAACGTCAGAAAAACAAATGTCTGTTTGTTCTCTATCAATGGGATAAAACAAGCTCGTATCGTGAACTTCTGCGCCAACTCGTATTATACAAAAAACGGCAAATCTTCGGTAATCTCCGCGATTTTTAAAATGATCGGAATCTCTCCACATCAAAGGAAATCTAAGATCCGAGATAGATAACTTCCCTTTATTTTCGGTAATGCTGAAACAAACAACGTTAAAATAGCATTATTCGGTGTTTTGAGCATACTTTTTGAAATAAAGATAACGATACCTCGCTTTTAACGACGTATCCCTTTTACGATGTTGTAACTCAACCATATAGGTAGACATTCTTTTGCTTGAAGTGAACAAAGCACGTGCCGCCTCCAAACTTTGTGTAGGGTGCCGCGCAGCAGCTAATAGTCTCGAGGAGCCTTCTTTTATTTTAATTTCTAAATCAATTTTTCTCCTCAAATCGTATTCCTGGGAAAAGAAGAAGAAAAAAATATACGGACAAGAATATTTTTAACATGCGACAATAATAAGAAAAGATATATCGCTTGAAGAAAAAAAGTCTTTTCTAAATGTATCTTTGCACAGTATGATAGATTTCGATGATAGATCGTGTAGCGATGCTAATGACAAACGATGTGCTGTTTGCATACAACGGTATGATACAATATTAAATTTGAGATAACCAGTGTTTCTTCAACTTGTCATGTTTGTTTTTTCGTAAATGTTTTTACAATGATGTCCGCGCCAAAATCGAAGTACCTATTACACTTTGCAGATAATGAATTCGACCACCGGTCTTATACATGACTGACAAAGAAGAAAGAAATAATTAAGCATTCGCATGATTCCTTTAACGCGTTTTGATTCAATTATAAAGCATAACCTACTTCTTCGTAACGGTAATTTATTTAAGATACTTAATATAATAAGAATCTCTTTAGCCACCGAGATAAATAAAAATTATTTCTACTTCGTTACAGCTCCGACGAAAGCCTTGTTAAATTATACATACATATGTACATACGTAGAAGAAAAATTACACATTGTGAACGTTGAAATTCTCAATTGTTGGAAAAAACAAATTCACTTACCGCTACATTTTTACAATTTCGAATACTCTCTCGCCTTCGAACTCGTGCTTGATAATCGCTCAACGAACGCAAATAATTATTTTCTTTGTCTGAAACATTACTCGTTGAACCGCGCAATCCTCCGATACTTTTTTTACGTGGCGCCATTTTGAAGCTTCGCGTTTCTTTTTCGGTA